ATTGTACCAAATACTATGCTTTGAAAGGGTATGTCACAATCTCTGTTATTCCACCAAATACTATGCTTTGAAAGGATATGTCACATTCTCTGTTATTGCACCAAATACTATGCTTTGAAAGGGTATGTCACATTCTCTGTTATTGCACTAAATACTATGCTTTGAAAGGGTATGTCACATTCTCTGCTATTGCACCAAATACTATGCTTTGAAAGGGTATGTCACATTCTCTGTTATTGCACTAAATACTATGCTTTGAAAGGGTATGTCACATTCTCTGCTATTGCACCAAATACTATGCTTTGAAAGGGTATGTCACAATCTCTGTTATTTCACCAAATACTATGCTTTGAAAGGGTATGTCACATTCTCTGTTATTCCACCAAATACTATGCTTTGAAAGTATATGTCACATTCTCTGCTATTGCACCAAATACAGTACTATGCTTTGAAAGGGTATGTCACATTCTCTGTTATTCCACCAAATATTATGCTTTGAAAGTATATGTCACATTCTCTGTTATTGCACCAAATACTATGTTTTGAAAGGATATGTCACATTCTCTGTTTTTCCACCAACTACTATGCTTTGAAAAGGTATATCACATTCTCTGTTATTGTACCAAATACTATGCTTTGAAAGGGTATGTCACATTCTCTGTTATTGCACCAAATACTATGCTTTGCATAGGTATGTCACATCTTGTGTATCAGCTAATGCAATCAGTTGAATGCAACAAAATAAACTACAGCTAAAAAAAAGTAATTCATGTTACTAAATATAAGTTACATGTACTATGAACATTGAAACTTATGACTGGGATTTTGTAACTTTTTTTTGTAGACATTTACCAACTGTATGGATCCAGCTCAGTTGTCATTGGAACTGGACCAGGAGCATGTTTTGATTGAAGTGATTCAGTTGCAACCCAACTATGAGGGTGGTACTGTACTTGCATACTATGAGTGCTCTGCTAGAGACTTTCTGTATCCTGATCCACTCTTATCTCCATCTTATTCCTCAGCTGAAAGGGAGATTCTTTTCACCAGAACCTTGGCATTTAAGGTATGTTCAGCTTGTAATTAAAAAATATTGTAAAGATTCACAATAATTTGTTCATAAGTAACAAATTATGAAGTTTGTGGACTAGGAACTAGTCTGTAAGACAGTGAGACAAGATTTGCAGTGAATTTCATCCTTACATGAATCATCCGAACATGATGTTTAGTAGTCAACATTAAATGATGTATAACATAATCAGCTGTTTGCCGTAATACATCATTTTATCAGATTTCTTACCAAAAAGTAGAATTTTTATCAGTTCTAGACTCCCGTGTGTGAAGCACAAAAAGGAGTCTTTGCAGTTACC